ACCAAATCCTCATAGCTAACGGGACATGAAGAAGAACTGCGTCCTCATACTTCTCTGTACCAATCTGACACGTGCATCACAAACAATAAACTAGTGTCACAATGTGATCTCGAGGATAACTTTCGCTAGCGACAACCCCGAATAATCAATAATAAACGTCCTACAATCACCAACAGTCTGGTCAAAAGCGGTACACGTCATATATTTTGAAGGATGTGCCACCCAGTGCAAGGATTGTTGGGGCAAAATGTCATGTGTTAATTTAACCTTGATTAAATTTAATAAATCGTTAAATTACTGCTTTTGAGTGGGATGTGATGTCGGGTTTGTCAACAATTCGGACGCCATGTGGCGATCAACAATCGTATCGCAGTATATAAATAGCTAGAGTCCGAGTCGAAAGTAAAAATGGACGAATATATGCAAGAATATCACAACATTTTGTTTGTTATTGCTTGTTTACATCAAAGTATTTATACATCTTATACCTAACGCAGTGCAGTGAATGCGATGGATTCCACGCAAACATTGATGATGTGACGTCATCGAGATTGAATTGCGTGACCTTTATGGCTTCTCTTTGAAACCATAATTTAGTGCAAAACAAATACGACCACACATTCGACTGTAATTGCACTATTAATGACGTAAAATGAGACATAACTGAAACCTGTAATAGTGGCTAGAAGACGCAAATACAGCGCGATCATTTGTACTTGGTTGTCTGTTCGCGTGTCTGTTTACCCGTCTGTCCGTTCGTCCGTATCTCTATCGGCGATGTAAGGGCGTATGGATAGTCACACTACACATGTTTGTGGTTTAAAGCATGTTCGAGATCACTCATAAAAATATGTTTTCCGGTTCCGGAATAAAATGACACACCAAATGTAAGGGGTAGTGCAACCACTATTAAGCTACAAGTGAAGGTCAGACAAACAATTGTCTTATGCGTGTCTGAACTCAAACCACCACCTGTTTATATCGCAAATTGTATTCTAAACATGTATCAACGCAATCAGTCTAGTATCTTCACTGTAATGGCACTTGAATCTCGTGGCTGCACTCACCAAGTCGTATAACCCCCGTGGCAATATCTTTCGATAGGAATGAACGTTCGAATGTTACGTGCTGCCCATATATGGTTAATACGGAATTAGGTATAGGGGTTTTATTCAAACAACATATTATTATATGTCGATCAATAGAATGTGATCAATTGATATACCTGCGGATCGATGAGCAGTTAATATTATTTTTTATTTTGAAAGTAGGTATTGCTTACTACGTGGAACCTATCGGTACCTGTATTATATAATCCGAACATCAGGGGGAATGGGATTGCCGAGGACATTTGTAAGCACATCTACGACGAGGGTCAGGGTTAACATAGAGTTCGTTTTATGGATGACTTGTACGTGTATTTCCACGGTGTCAGCGAAAGTTTAATTAAATTTGTATGTAAGTTCATGATTGCAGATTTTGTGAACCCGCCAATAATACTTCGTCACAGAAATTTCGAGTTACAGACAGACTTTCGAAATTAACGGTCTATAAAACCGCGTACGACTTCATTATTATAGTAAAAACATATACGACCCGCATTGAGTATTCCAGTGGGGCGGAATTATCATAAATGCAATTACTACTCGAGTTGAGTTCGCACGATACAGCCAACTACATAATTACCGGTTATTTATTGGACGTTTAAACACAATAATTTTACGCTAAAGAGAACAGTGTGGTCACACTTTTCAGAGAAACTGAAAGCGAAATCGTTTAAAGGTGACTAATTTGATTTAAACATAATCAAGTGTTATTGATGTGCACTGGAGGGACCTTGTCATGGACTGTTTCACAATGTCATTTTACAACAAGTAAAGGTGAAAACTATTCTTTAATTATTATTATAACAACGCACTGAAAGTTTTACCACGCATTGGTGTACAGAAGATAAACTTATTTCTCTATTTTATCAGTAATGTGTTCAATCTAATCAAATAAAATAGTGCGTTTTTTTAAATTTAAAATATAATTGCGGTAAATTGTGAATGAATTCAATTCTAGCGTTTTAAATATTCGAATGTAAATTTCAATATTTGAAGTAGTGTTAATAATAATAATAATAATAATAATAATAATAATAATAATAATAATAATAATAATAATTTGCGAAATATGATAATGGTACTGCGCATTTCGAGCCACTGTCAGTTACGTGAAATGTCGTGAACAGACCGAGAACTATAACTTTTAATTTTAGTTTTCAGGGGATGAACCGTTTCTCGCGACGAACGTTCAGTCGTCCCCAAGTATCGGCTTTAATGCAATTCATTGGTAAAGAACGACACAGAGGTAATAAATATAGTCTTGTTTGATTGTAGGCACACTGGTATTAATTAAATCGAAGCTTATATAAATCTTCAGATCTAATTTCCGGGAAATATTTTTTGATCATGTCATCATTACTCAAAAAATAAAATAATAAACACATCTACCCCATGTCATATCACAAAACAAATGTTACAGTATTAGGATCGATGGAACACTACGGCTTGCGATCTTGAAATAAAAAAAAAGTGCAGACACGGCATCCACTAAACTATACTCGAGTATCACGACATTCTATAAGCATGATTAATAACAGATTGTACTAATTAACAAATAATAATAATTGGTTCCTGTCGATAACTTAACATGCTAAATATTAGGCCGACGAAGTTAATTTTTTGTTATTTGCAAGACAGTCACGCCCTGGGTTATTTACGGCGGTTCCTACTCTCCGTTCAGATAAGAATATAATCATATCGCTAATATGATATTAACGCGAAAAATAGAGATTATCACTATGAGCAGCACGGGTATCCTACAAACGAGGTTAAACGCTTTGATTCATGTGACGGCAGCGCCGCTAAGCAATGGGGACGATTAATAGACGACAGTGATTTCAATGGCCGTATATTTGTATGCAACACACGACCGTTGGGGGTAAAACCATTGGTTTTCATAACACGGAGGCGATTGTATTGCTGTTCAACGCCGTCATCCGAACACTCGGCAGTATGGTATATTAAAAAAAAAGCATGAAGTGCCATATGGAGAATGTAATTGTTTGTGAAGATTGTTCCGACTGTTTGTCAAAAGAATGCTAACCATTGAAATTTAATGGATATTTGCATTGGGAGAGTGGCATGTTTGATATGTATGTTGGTACGTCGAGTATCGTTATAATCATAAAATAATATTTTTTTTTATATCAACGTGCAGGTGAAGTAGTCGGCAGGGAAAGTAACATTAATAGTACAAAGATGGAACATGTTCAGTGGTTTGGAACTATCTTCAAATTACATTTTAGAAACGCATTTGTCGAAGAAAATATAGACATCGCCGAAGGCGTAAAGGGGATTTCTAAGCTGGTTAAAACGTCATTTTTTTTCTTCAGACTATTAAAAAAGTGATTTATAGATATTTACCGGCGGTCAATGTAAATATATTAATTCAATATAACTCCGTATGGAACGAGGAATACGCAAACAACGCGATAGTGACAATACTTAAATGACGTGTGTATATTGCCGTTTTTTTTAGGAAAAACACACATTTCAATAATTATATCACGTTCTGCATCGAAAGACAAAATTCGGACTATATAAGTGTTATACCATGACCGTGTTTTGTAAAGCGTGACGGGTTTCATGTGTCAATCGACAATAACGCATGCGTATCCGACCGTAATTAGCCAGATACGTAGACGTCGAGTCAGATCCCTGAGTATGATTTGATATCTTTGTTAGCGCATTAGAGAATAGACATCGTCTCATTCTAAGGCCCATGGTCAAAGTCAATATTAAAATAAATGATTATACAATTAGAAATATTGCATTATATTTGTTTACAACTTGTATGTTATAATTGCTATGACGTGTTTTAACAATTTATATCTGTTTTGAGGGGGGGTCGTCAGAGAACACTGTCCATATTTGGAAGATAAATCTTGTTTTCTTCGTTCCCGATAGCGGTGATCGATCATTGGAAATAACACAAACAATCGCAAAATCAGTCGCAGTGCACACAAAAATAAATAATCGGAGTAGGCAAAATAGGATTTCATCATAGATTTATCTCTACAAGTACGCCTAATTCAAGTTCAACAACAGCTGCTGAACACACAGAACATCATCCGAATTGTAATCCAATAACCGCGGGCTGTGCCAACACAAAGCCACCACATTCGAAGCATCCCAATGATCATGCTTTTTTTCAAAGAAGGAAGGCTTTAAGGAATTGTTTAAATGCTAAATGTAACTGGATGTGTACATACACTCACATAGCAAATGACGAACAAAGATTGTAAAGTCTCATAATGTGCGGGAATTATTATTCATGTATTCAATGGAGAGACACAAATATCTCTACAGTGGCAAATTAACCACAAAAAAAGGTCAAATCTCTATACAGATGGGCAGAATATGTAACGACTATGACCTTGTAGAAAAATAAAACAAAAGGTAGTCGTGGGTAATGTAATTGTATTTCTATGGCGATCATAGATCGTCCATGTCAATCTGGTTTGTTTTTTTAGCTAGTTGCTGCAAAACAGTAATTTCTATGTGATGCAACGACAATGAGCTAAAGGGCTCGGTCTTATCAATGTAAATCAGTGTCTGTATTCATAATGTCGTCTGCCGCAAACAAAAACACCCGCCACAATGAAAGGTTAACATGCTGAGCGCCAGATCATAGGGAAAGAAATTTACAACACGCGCCGCATCTATTTTGACCACGATGATGATTTTTTTTTTTGACGGATAAAAAAACAACAACATCGATTTATTAAATTAAAAATTGCATGGGTTTCTTATTTCAATGCTAAACGCACACCGGTATAGAATGTGACTATTGCTATGTAACATTATATATATGTATGTCAAAACAGTTGTTATGGAAACAGGTTATGCTTATGTTGGATTTCACCATATGTTAGCAAATTAAATAGGCATTACCTCAGTTACAACGGATGAGCGGACATTGTCATTCCCATAGTAGTACACCCATCCTTCGTCGCACGCAGTAATTGGTAATTGCCTTGGAAAAGAACATGGTGATGACGACGCTGTCAAATTCAAATTAACCGGCAAATCGGCGAGACTGGCATTAATGTAATATCGATAACAGCTACTGGGTGTGCAAATCTTGTCATTATTTTCAAACGGTACGTAGAGGTACGTGTCGTTGTACACGCCGTCGTCCCCGGCGGCGAGGGTTATGCTCTGGTCGTCGCCGCCGCCGCCGTCAAACTCTGACACGCGACAGCGATGCGGTACGTCGGCGATCGTGAACACTTGTCCTAAAACGATGAAACAGGAGGGCAGAAGCATACAGCAGAGCATGGAGTAGAGGTACTTCTGGTAGCGCCCGAACTCTCCCAGTGAACGTAAGACATGGTCAAAATCCATACCGAGACGTAGACCGATTGATCGCAAAGCCGACCGTCCACTCGACACAGCTGTTTCATCGACTGCGTTCCATGCCACGCTTGTCTCCTTTTTCGCTGAACAGCGTACACATACCAAATATTCACAAGCAGAAATGACCATGTAACAACCCTTTTACGTGGGACAAGACTGGGGTATTCGTTCAACTGCTATGATCCATCCCAATCAGTACGATGCGCCTTTCCCTGCTCAGTTGCGATGAATCAATGATGTTTACCACTTATGTGCGTACTACGCATGCGCCTGGGTGAGCGTGATTTGTTTTCTCAGTGACGGCAATAACACACTATACTTTTTTATTTATTACTGCGTTGGTTTACCGCGTTTCAATTTTTTGATTGTGCAACTCGCCGTTATCTCCCAATGATCGTAAATTTCTTCAATGATATACTGGATGTAGCCGATATTGTATGGTATACTTCATTATCAATACTGGCGGTATCCCTACTTTGCAAATATCTGAAACGTCACTCCAGGAAAAAGCTGAAAAACAAAAACTGTGTTCAAATGTTGCTGTTATAGTTAAAAAATGCGATTTATTAAAAGTAGATATCCTGTCGTCATTTATCGCCAATTTTATTTCGAAAGCAAGTAGTGTAACAGACTCGCATGCAATGAATGTCGGTAATGTTTATAGATCAATGATGATTGTTCTGCGGCTACGTTCTCATTATTCTCCCACAATCTCAACATTTGATGTGAACATATTAGTCAGGGGAGTGCACCTCTCAGATTTGCATAGTGTGAATACAACTTCAACATCACCCACGGAACCGCACAACCTGAGTGCGAAGCATTTCACATACGTCTACTTTTAGTAGAATCCAATTTTTTTTATTGCATTTTCTCGCGAAATTTACAAAGATTGTTTATATATCTAAATAATTGAAGCGATTTACAGATTTCTCATCACGTGTGACTCAAGCAAAATGTTTTGACGATATATTATCAATTATGACGAAAGACTCGCCCAAATCGAGCTTGACTTGCTAACGTTTAATAAAATACTAACAAGTTAGTGAAAAACAGCAACGTATACACTTTATATTATGGTGCGTACACGTTTTGTGTAAAGCACCCTGATTTGGATCATATACTTCCCGGGAAATTAAAAAAAATATATCACATATGTCATGCGCACTACTAGTATGATTGCATGAATTGCGATAACATTGAATTAAGTTGAATAAATCACACCAACAATGGGAATTACACGTACAGTGACGTGGTCATGTCCTTTACTCTAAACAGCAGATCAGTGAGGTATTGCAGTCACCGGTCACACCCACTCATGAATAACCGCATGCAAATGACTCCCAAAATTTGGCTTCTTTAAGTTAAAACAGGCATTGTTTCGTTTAGCATCTACACGTTAATAAAAACAAAAAACGGTTCTTATGAATATTTTATTTTTTAATTTCTGAGAGTGTTTCATACTGTTATCATATATTTTTTTTTATTATTAATCTTTCAGCGCTAACCCCCAGGGCACACCTCAACGCAAGCTGGAATGGGGATGGTCACGGTGGTAATAAAATAATAATAGAAACGTTACGATAAGCAGTCTTTCTAAAGGTTGTCAGATTTACGGCGTGTTTTGAGTAATCTGTTCCATGTTAGAGATATCTCAAGAAAGCTATTTCGCTGTAATGAAAACAAGCTGGGACTAAAAGGCCAGCACATGACAATTGTATTACAACTTAATAATGTCATTATGGATCACGAGAACAAATGGACTCGAACACAGCAAGATAACACGTGCTTTCAATGAAGGGCAATTGCATCCAAAACTTTATTCACGAACGAACTGAACATTGCAGTGACAAGTCTTCTATAATTCAAAATATGTTACGTCACACCGTGACGTCATACGTGTGTCACTGGATTTGATGCGAACATAATCTTTTAATCGACTTACGTTTTCTTTTGGTCTGGTTGTTGTAGCGGGTTTTCAGGAACGGAAATGAATTAAATTATAGATAGTAGATTCTTATTCCACACGAATATGTTTTATGACTGCCGCTGAGGGCGTAGTGTATACAGCGACTGTACTTTGTGTCAGCGAATCAAGTTTATTTTCATATAACTAATACTACGCAGTTTCATTTGAGGTTAAAACAAATATTCTTCTTCCATATTCTTCTTCTTTCTTAAGTTTGATTTCAGGATTGTGATGGATCAGATTTATGATGAACTGTACTTATCTAAAGCTTTTATAATGCTTATTGACTTCAGTGAGCGGTTTTCAATAATACAAAATGCCGACTGTCAGCCACTACAACATTTACTTTTCGGGCGGAACCATTTTTTTAATAAATATTCTGGTAATTATGTATCTAGAGATATATCTCACGAAATATTGTACATCACACAACAGCCTTGAGAGAGGGTAAGTAGTACACTATCTCTGTCTCGTGTACAAACATATCTATTCTGGATGTAAGAAATGGTTTCAAAGTTGCATTCAAGTCGTCACGTGGGAGAGGCAACTTCGAACGGCCCCGAGTCGTTACCGGAAAAGGAGATTGAACATTTTTGTGAAATTTACAAAAACATACGGTGTATTGTTTATACTAGAGCCAGGGTGTCGATAAGGAGAATTTTGCAGCGAGCGCCCCCACCGACCACTCAATCCTAAAGTTTTCTGTGAGATCTCGCGTTATGCGTGCGGAAATCAAACGTCGAGAAACAGGACGAACAAAGTCATAGCGTCTTTCAGATTTGGTAAAACGCTTTATTTAAACTGATTTCAAGTAACCGGGTAACATGAGCATAATTGTGTTAATGTCGACAGCGACTTTTAGTTCGAACATATTCCAATATGCAAATGAACCTACTATGTGTAGTGATAACGCGTATCGATCTGTTAGTTAGTTCAGCGCTATTTGTCTGAAAGAAATGTTTGGTTAATTAGATAAAACATGCACGGTTCACGCTAGGAAATTTTTTTTCAAGACATTAGATTATGCAATAAATGACTAAATACTAATATATAAACTTACTAGCTCCTTTGTGTTCCGTTCCGTTAGGCGCGAAAAATCGAATCCCTTCAAGCTAGAAATAGTATTGAAATATTCACCAGAAAACAAGATGAACGGAAATGTTAGGAAACCCCTTGTAGTGAAATTAGTGTTTAATGTTTTTTTTCACAACTGTGTACGATAACAGAACGTTTTTTCTCCAGTTGTAGTGTATCACGTACGCCATTTCACTACAATAACATTACCTCGCAAAACATAGTCACCCAGCTCATTGTCAACCGAGACTCTGATGGTCTCTGAAACTATATGTCCACCGCTGTTGGGGGTGTATCACCAAGAGCTTTACTCTAGATTGACAACTTTGCAAGAGTTTCGTATACAAGAGATGTGATTTATTCATAGCAACAGTGCAGGTCTGCTTAACACAATACAACGAACGATCAGTAGTGTAAAACCAAGCACATTCCTGAACATCGTATTCACAATCTTAAGCTCCGTAAAAACTCATTGGCGACCTGTAAAGCCTTGGAATAATTGAAAATATTCGAAATTGACGGTGACATAACGGAAACAGCTTCCACGTCTTGCTTGTATCATCAAACGGCAATAATGCGCATGGATACAAAAGGGCGAGTCACCTGGAAAGATCAAATCAGTAATGAGTAAAAGTGTCAAAAATGCAACACAAAATAATTATTACTATCAATAAAAATCCCCAAACACAACAAGAAGTCTACAAATGCATAAAATTCATGAAACAAAAAAGACTGTTTTCTATGCGAAATGATACACCATCGAGAAGGTGAAGCTATTCGGTCTGTTTGTTTTGCGAGATTCTACTCGCATCCTAAGAAAGAAGATTTCAAATCTGCCACTAGAGGGCGGAAGCCACATAGGGTGAACATGATTTGTATTATTATCCAATACTCAATCATGGCAATCTTCCGGTCACGCTCGTAGAGCTGAATGCATGTATGAACAAAAATATACAAGTTGAAAGAGTTCAAGAGCATTGATTGAATTGAGTCTTATTATTGATGCCTTTTTACTAATTTTTAATCATGGCTGTCATGACTGATAAACCTAATTTCAGCAGCTTCAGTCTGACAAAGAATTGATTTTTACAAACATACACGGCGCCATCCTGTGCGCAGCTATACGCTACACTGCGTTCCCTTTTGCATTATAACAGTGAAACACGGAGATGCACACGGCTTGAGTATAGGTTTATGCAGGGGTTTATGCATGGAGGTAAAAAACTGTTGTTTTTTTTCAAACAAAACTGTGCCGTCACAAGGCAAAACCCACAACTCTCAGATTTGTTGGGTAGACGAACTGCGCAACCGCAGACCGAATGTCTCAAAGCGCATAGCTGAGCGCACTGGCGAAACGCTCGGCAAGCGCAACTAAAAATCAAGCGAAATCGCTACAAAATCCTAGTTTTTTCTCTGCAATGAGATAGTCGAATAGTATACGCAAACCTGGCACACTAATCAGTTCATGAATGTTGCCGCGTATCGTGTTCCCTTAACATGTTATTGACGTAAATCAGGTACATTCAAGAATAAGCTACCTGGATAGAGGTAGACATATGAATATAGCAGCAAGTCAACGAGATGCTGAATTGTACGAGTTACGGACTTCGAGTTACGAACATCGAGTTACGAAAACATCGAGTTACAGAAATGACCATGCCCATATTTTTGAAACCATACTCACGTTTGTGAAACCACGTCCAAATTGTAACTCGATGTTCAATCAATAGTTAACAGAACTTCGAGTTACGGGCAAAACACATTTTGCTTTTTGTTAAACATTCACATTCAGTAACTCGAACTTTAAATAACAGCTAACTAAACTTCGAGGGCAACATGTAATTTTGTTTTGTTTACCTTTCAGATTTTGTAACTCGAACTTTAATTGATAGTTATTCAATCTTCGAGTTAGCAACTCGAAATTGAATAACTCGTAACTCGAACAGTTCAGCATCTCTCTCGTTGAACGTCCACATTTAGTAATAAACATCATGGAAGGTACTAACGGATGTAAACATCGATTAACGAGCAATATAGATTTGTTGTTTTGTTTAACGTTCAAATTTAATAACAAACAAAACAACAAATGTATGCGGTCTGTAACTCACAGTTCGGTCACATAAACATGTAAAAAATGATGGTGAAAACTGAAGCAGCCACGAACGTTAGGTTTACTAAATATTTACAATTGATGCCCTGCATTCAGTTGCACCACGCATTTTTTGGTGTTTTTATGTTTGTGAAAATGAATTTCCTGAACCATATATAATCGAAATTTCAAAATCACGGGGTTGATATCATTGCGAAACACAACATAAACGTCGGCAGGTCCACAGAGCACAGCGAGGCCGGTAAAACAATTCACATTTTATCGATATGGATAATCGGTATGAAAAATATTTTTCACATACTTCTTTGTGAAATGAATATTTTCCTAAATATAGACGAGTAGAAGGGATGAAGGTAAGTACCACAAAGACGAAAAAGGTCAGACTCTTGCGGCACTTTCCGGGTTACTGTGACGTTTGACTAGGGCGCACAGTCTGATGGTAATTTGGTAACGACGTTCTAAATGTCAAATTTGCAAAGCGCAGAGATCGTTGCCTAACCGTTTGTTGAGTGAGCGTGAAAAAAGAGGACTAACTTGAACATTGTTTTTAAAGATAGCGGAGTGAGTGAGGATGGGTACAAACGAGCGCAGATTTCTAGTTGAAAAAGATGATTTTTTTAAACAAACGCTATCAATTCGAAACTCGGGAATTCGGCCGGGAAGCAGTTCGGAAACTAATGAATTAATTAAATAATTTGTTCGCTATTACTGTTCCAGCTGAAATGGCATTTTCCACTTCAAATTATGCAGCTTTACATTATGGAAGGTTAGCGTAAAATGAGCATTTTTTACACAATAAAATGAACTATCTTCGGAAAATTTATTTAAGGATGTAGTAGACATAACAGGTATGCTATAGTTAGGCTTCATATTTTCATATAAGAATTGTCCTGAACTATAGTAAACCATATATTTATGAAACCTCTTATCTCACACTTCCTGAAATTCCGGGTCATTTTGGATAGAATTTAATAGTTATCACGTGACTGTTAAGTAAACAAAACAAAAAGGTAAATCCTACAGGAAACCGAAAACGGCGCATGTTTGTTTTTCGATAGTATTCAGTCCTGTTATTACATTATGTTTTTGAAGACATGTGTATAAAAAAAACATTGAAAAATCCAGACATCATCATGTAACTCTGGTTATTACTCAGCTCCCGAGAGCAAGGGTTTTTTGCATTTATGTTGGTGATCGTCGCTGTGTCCGCGGAAGCACTATAATGGGGAATTGCATGATGGGAGTGATTAGTCCTTTGATCAGTAATTTTTTTTAGATAAGTGAAAACTAGGGTGACTGTGAAATGAAGGATGGTTTTAAATATCATGACATCTGGATGAAATAACAAAAGGAAATTGAACTGGTATGAAAGGATAGTAAATGTGGCAAGAATGTAGGTTCAGAATTCGGGTTTCAAAATACGTCACAGCACGTGACGTCACAGTACATCAATCATAGGTGCGGTATACGTAATAGCCTTAGTTTCTGTTAATGGACGGGTGGGGGGTACATGCAAATAACAGTAACAGTATTTGCTGCTTTGGCAGCATTTTTAAACCTACTGTTCCAAGCCATGTTACAGAATACAAGCTTGTCGTGGCTCAACAATATTGCTGGTATTTGTGGTCCGACTAAAGTTTTACAACCACATTACGGACTTACATGTTACTGTCAGAAAGAAAGGGAGTTTATTGTTATAATTGTCGAATTTATGAACGTTGTTTTGTGATGTTGAATTGTATTTTATGTAAACGCCCAGAATCTACGTTTTGAACTGATATTTAATAACTTTGTGAGGTAAATTTAAACATTTCTCGGCAGACGAAGTATTTGCAACACATATTTTTGAAGTTTTTAAGAAGTTTATGAGTACGGATGGGAAGGATATAGCCCCACGTGATTCTAAGATTAGTGAGATTAATGAGTTGTCGATTAATGTGTTGTTTTTAGAACAGTTCAAATTTGTCAGAGGAGGAATGTGTTATGATAGCGACTTAACGTTCGCATATTCGGTTCACATGCCACGACACTATTGCTTAGAATCAACAACTTGCATGTTTAGGGTGGAGATTATAAACATATATTACAGGAATTTTATAAATAGAATGTTTACTTATTGTATTTAGTAGTAGCAACTTTGTCCTGCTCACGCGCTCGTGCCAGCGACTACAGCGATTGGCTGATCGCATATTTAACATAGAGAGGTTGTAACATTTGTAAGAGGAGAGAACAGTGCAGCGAGAAGTTACCTCGGCTGACT